TATTAAGTAGAGGTTTAAAATACTTCAAGTAGACCATAATAGGAGAAAATATTTACAGATCATATATCTGACAGGAGTTAATATCCAGAATATCTAAAGAACTCTTGTCACCTAACAACAGCAACAAAACAACAATCTGATTGAAAAATGGACCAAGGACTTAGACATTTCTCCAAAGAAGATACACAAATGGTCAATAAGCACATGAAAAGACGCTTCACATCACTATTCATCAGGGAAATGCAAATCAAAGTAAGACAGCACCTCATACCCAACATAACTAGAAAATAACTATCAACATAAACAGAATATAAAAGCATTGGGGAGGATGTGAAGAAACTGGAACCCTCATGCAGTGCTGGTGGGAATATGAAATGAGGCTGCCACTGTGGAAAACAGTATGATGGTTCGTCAAAAATTAAAAACATGCCCTGACCATTGTCCCATGCAACAAAAGGTCGCTGGTTCGATTCCCAGTCAAGACACATGCCTTGGTTGCAGGTTCCACCCCGGTCGGGGTGCATATGAGAGGCAACCGATCTATGTTTCTTTCTCACATAGATGTTTCCCTCTCTCTCTCTCTCTCTCTCTCTCTCTCTCTCTCTCTCTCGTCAATAAAAACATATTTTTTAAAATTAAAGACGGAATTATCGCATGATCCAGCAATTCCACTTCTGGTATATATCCAAAATAATTGAAAGCAGGGTTTCCAAAAGATATTTGTACACTCACATTCATAGCAGCATTACTCACAATAGCCAAAATGTGGAAGCAACTCAAGTGTCCATCCACAGATGGACGGGTAAATAAAATGTGGTGTATATATACAATGGAATACCACTCTGCCTTTAAAAAGGAAAGGACTTCTGACACAAGCTGCAACATGATGAACCTTGAAGACATGATGCGAAGTGAAATAAGTCAATCACAAAAAGACAAAAGCTCTGCGATTCCACTTATGCGATATACCCAGTGTAGTCAAATTCATGGAGACAGAAAGTAGAATGGTGGTTGCCAGGGCTGGAGGGAGGAGGAGACGGGAGTTGTTTGTTGAGTAGAGTACAGAGTTTTAGTCACAGGATGAGAGATAACAGGCCTGGAGATTGAACATGGATGTACTTACCACTGAACTATACACTTAAAAATGGTCAAGATGGTCAATTGTATGTTCTGTGTATTTTGCCACAATTAAAAATAAAAAAAATGTAATGTTTCCACCTAAAAAGAAATAGAATCTACCATAGAGTGTTGTTGTAAAGATGAATAATAGATGCAAAATATTTAGGGTTTGTAGACTTTTCTTAATATGTACAACGTTTCAATAACAAATTTACAAAAAACTGTGTAACGTGCTTAGAGCAGCGCATAGCAAGCCAGCATCGGGTGAGGGTAGAGCACCTTTGCTGCCCCGTGAATGTGCCTGAAACCCCAGCCGGACTGTGAACCCGCGAGGACCCAGACAGGTCCATCCACCTCTGCTTCCCCAGCACCCAGCATAGGGCCCGGCACACGCCATAATAGCAACAGCACTCAATAATAAGAACAAATAATAGCAAAATCGTAGCTAATATTTATTGGGCTTTTACCAGGTGCCACTTGCTATTGTAAGTGCTTTACTTCCATTGATCCACTTAATTCTCACAACAGATTGATGAGGTAGGTGCTGCCATAATTCCCATTTTACAGATGAGGAACCTGAGGCCCACAGGGAGACACACATTCAGTGCATCGAATGCCTTAGATGACTTATGACATGTTGTGATATCATCTACTTCCTGACACTCCCTGGAATGCCTCTTTGCCCGTCAAGTCCTCCTCATCCTTCCTGATCCAGGCACCATCTGGTGGCCACCCCTGTGCCTCCCTGAGCCTCCTTCCACCCCTGTGGACACCGAGTTCATTCTTTTCTCCTCCGTGTTACCCAAATCCCCATGCATCACAGCATCCGCCCTGCTACACTAGGATCCATCTGTTTATCGTCTGTCTTTTCTTTGAGACCTGGGGCCCCTTCAGAGCAGAAACCACATCACAACCCCAGGACCTGGTCCATACTAGGTGCTCAGTTAACACTTGCTTGGGGTAAACATGAATGCGAAATGGAATGCTTGGTCTATCCCCCTACCCAAAGCAGAAGTTCCCTTTACCCCCTCCCAGCCACCTTGACTCACTTCTGGAGCAAGGCAGGATATAAATCCACCAACCAAATGCAGTCTCACTTCCTTGGCAGGAGGTCAGTCAGTCCCATTCTCAGGAAAATAGGACTGTCTCTGACATGCGACATGTTTTCAGCTCAGGCTGGAGCACTTAGTGCTTAGCTATTCCTCAGGTCCTCTCCTCTGTGACCTGGTATAACAGCACCTGACCCCAAACAGCACCTCATGTTTTCAAAGTGTTCTTATGTCCACTATCTCACTTGATAACCCTGTAAAGTGGGTGTTACAGGTACAATTACCCCTCTGTGACAGATGAGGAAACGGAGGCACGGGGAGTTACTCAAGCTCCTTCTTATGGGCGTGTGTTCTGCTCTGTCTGGGGGCTTAGGTGCCAAAAAACAGGCATTAGAACAAGCAAGCTGGCTTTCCCAAGACTCTTCTTAGGACTTGCTCACCTGCCCGGGATGGAGCTCACGCTGACCTCTCTCAGTGGGGTGATGAGGGGGCTGATGCAGATGATGCCTTCCCAGACCCTGACCTTCGGGAGGTGCCATTTAAAAATATATTTTTATTGATTTCAGAGAGGAAGGGAGAAGGAGAGAGACATAGAAACATCAATGATGAGTGAGAATTATTGATCGGCTGCCTCCTGCATGCCCCCTAGTGGGGATAGAGCCTAGAGCCTGCAACTGGGGCATGTGCCCTTGACCAGCATTGAATTGTGACCTCCTGGTTCATAGTCAACGCTTAACCACTGAGCCACCATGGCCAGGCGGGAGATGCCTTTTTTAAAGCTCCCCCCCCCAAGAATGGTCCCTGTGGGGACAGCTTTCTTCATCCAGAGATTAAGGAAAACAGTCTCCAGATGCAGCGAGGGAGACTCAAGACAACAGGAGTCCTGAGCTCCTCCCAGGATCGCGTGCTCATCAGGGGAGCATGCTGAGCAGCGAGGCCACAAACTGCCTCCCCCAGAGACGCCCCTCCAGACAGACGGCCTGGGGGGTTCGGGGCGAGCCAGAGCCAGGCTGAGTTGCCCGGATAGCAGAGGATGTTGGGAATTGGGCAAGCATATTGGGGGAAAGGCAGAGCCCGCAATCAGACTGTGGGTTGTGGGGCAACCTGGGGGAGCAGAACCTGGCCCCATTTACAGGAAACAGCTCCGTCCTGTGTGTGTGTCCCAACAGACCTGCGCAGGCCGGGCCCAGGCTGACGAAATCAGGACCGGCAGGCAGGGCCGTGAAGAAATCCCCCAGGAAGGGGCCGGAGGAAGGCGAGGAGGACGGGGCTGAGATGTCCCCTTAGTACTCAGTGGCCTGTGAAACCCAACTCGGTTCCAATGAAACGGGCAGGAAGAATCCTCCCTGGGCCCGGGAAGGACGGCCTGGGTCTCTGGACGTGAGGATGAGGCCCACGGGGATTCCAGGCAGGTTCCTGTATTCCTCCCTCCAACACGGCGGACCACCCACTGTGTGCTGACACTGGCCCGGTGGGAAGGATGGCCCCTGGCTTGGTGGAGGACAGACAGCAGCCCCACCGTGGTGCAGCAGGACACACACCTCCACAGGGAGTTCAGGCCCCGGGGCGGGGGGGCGCACAGGAAGGTCCAGAGGGAAATGGGTGGGGGCCCAGCTGAGTCCCAAAAGGCAAGTGTTGGCAGACGGGCAAGTGTGGAAGGGATGGTGATGGGGCCCCACCAGGGAGCAACAGGGCAAAACCCCCCTTCAGAGCTTGACTGACCAGACACAAAGGTCCCCGCTCAACCTGCAGGGCACTTCTTCTCCTCTGTGATACACAGACCCAGCTGGGAGAGAGCCAGCCAAGGCCCTTAAATGACACATACCCCCCCCCGCCCCCCCGGCCCAATCACCTGCACGGGGGAGCAATGAGGATGATGGCCCATCATTCCCTTAAAACTCATTGTTTCTACCACAGTCACTTTAGGACGTGGGTTCCCAGACAATCCTCAGAGAAGAAACCCACCAAGATGAGCCTCGCAGGCCTGAGGCAGAGGAGACCCTCCCAGAGAGATCCTGCTTCCGATTCCCGAGCTCTCGGAGAGAGAAACACAGACAACACAGACAGGGCGGGGCAGGGCTCAGCTGGGCGGGGTCAGGGGCCAGGGAGGACTGGGATCCGTGAGTCACCAGCAGCCCTGAGCTGGAGTGACACCGAGTCTATCATCATTTTTTATTAGTAAAACCAGACCCAGCCCTCCTTCCTCCAGGAAGACTTCCCTGATTGACAGTCACCCACGTGCCACTCATCGCTCTTCCCCTAACAGGCTGGATTGTTGGCTCTGCCCTGGTCCCTGTCTGACTCAGCGGCACAAAACCCACCTCACGGTCTACCTCCCAGACTGGCCCTGACCCCGAACCCCAGGCAATTGCCAGCATCATCTTCCCGCCCGTCCAGGCCCCTTCCCAGGCACTCCCTTTGCACACTGATCCTTGGGGCTCTCATCCAGAGACAGAGACCTTCAAGCCAGGGTCCATGTCGAGTGTGCCTCTGCCCTCCTGTCCCGTCCCACCATGTAGGTGCCTGAAGGAGTGATCAGCATCTCGTGTCAGAGGGTCAGCTCCCCAAAGAGAAGACTCCTCTCCCTCAGACAGAGGCTGACAGCAGGGGCTGCCTCCCCCCTCCGACAGGGGCTCCTGGGGGCAGGGGCTGCCTCCCCCCTCAGACAGGGGCTCCTGGGGCCAGGGGCTGCCTCCCCCCTCAGACAGGGGCTCCTGGGGCCAGGGGTTCTGTCTGTCATCCAAAATAGATGACCTCCTATTTGGGGATCCAAACCTCCCCTCCTGGACCCATGGCTGACGCCCTAACCATGAAGAGAGAGACACCAGAAACTGCTGTGAAGTTGCTTTATTCTCTTCCCTCCCTGGTGTCCTTCCACATCCATGCACAGGCGTGCACACACACGGGCACACGCAGACACGCGTGGCAGAGCTCCACTGGGCCGCCCGGCTGGGTCACATGGCTCCTGGGGCAGGCCTGGGGGGCTGCCCGCTCCCTCTAGTAGAGGCTGTGCTGGGCGCAGTAGTGGGCGCACAGCTGCCGGTGGTACTGCAGGTGGTAGTCCCTCAGCAGCTGGCCCAGGACGTACAGGAACTCGTCAAAGCAGATCTGGTTGTCCTTGTCCTTGTCCGCTGCCCGGAACAGCTCGGTGACGAAGTACGGCTTCTCCCGGCCCTGAGGAGGGGCAGAGGGTCAGCCAGCCCCCAGGCACTCGGCCCGGGCAGATGGTCCGGCTCCACCGCCCACTGGTGAGGAACTTGGCCCTGCCTGCCAGGGGCTCGCGGGAAACAGCTCCTCGCTCACTCGGTGGCCAGGACACTGCGCGGCAGAATCAGGCAGAAGGGGCACAGGGTGCCGGCACCTGGACCTGGGCCGCATGGGCAGACAGATGGTGCAGACTGGGCACCGCTTGCTGGCTGGCCGGCTAGTGGCTGAGCAGGGCTGCCCTCTGCTGGGGGCTTTTAAGCCTGTCTTCCCAGCTGCACATACACCCTGCAGGGGCCGCCCAGCCTGGGGCTGCACACCGGGAGCTGTGGAGTCACCGCCCACCTGTCCCTCAGGCTGCACCTCCAGCACCATTGCAGGTCGGCACCCAGTGGGTCGGATTCCCGCAGGGCGTGCCATCCGCCCAGGATTGTTCATGGCAACTGGCCTGTGTCCTCAGGGAAGTGCAGGATGGGGGAAGGCCACCGCCATGGGCCCTGGGACTGTCCGATGTCCCAGAGCAGTGGCCCTGAGGGCTCAGGACTGGGGGTGGCGTAGGAAGGAGAGCAAAGGAGCTTTCGAGGTGGAAGGGACAGCAGGGAGGAGGCCAATGGTCAGCGTGCATGGAGGAGACAGGTCAGGCGACGATGAGGAGAGCCCCGGGCAGGGCAGGGGCAGTGAAGCAGGTTTCAGCAGGATTGGGCTGGAGGCGGGGGACCCAGGGTGCAGCCCTCAGAAAGCCTCCGGGGAGGGAAGTCACTGCCTCAGGAAACAGCTGGGGGCCTGGAGGGCAGCTCCCACCCTGGGGCAGACTGGCACCCTCTGCCCCCCCTCCCCAGCTACTTCCTTTAATCTGTCCCCTCCACAGAGCTGGCTGACCCCACAGTGCACAGGCCTCCAGCCTGGGGCAGCTCTCCCAGGCTCCCCTCACTCAGCCCTCCTGCCCAGGCCGCCATCTCCGCCCTGTGCCCAGGTGCCTGCCCCGTGGGCCCCGTACCCAGGTGGAAAGGTTTCCCTAGAAACAGGGGCCTAATCACAGTCCCCCCGTCCCTGCTCTGTGACCTCATGGCTGCGCTCCAATAAGCCCAGGACCAGACTCTCTCAGATGTTCCCCAAAGGGAGGCAAGGCAGACCCGCAGGGACGAGGGGTGCTTGTCCCGGATGAGCAGCCTTGACTCACCCGGGGGCATGGCACCGAGGGCAGACACTCGGGTTGGCCTTGCATCCCCAGGAGCCGGGTAATCACATGGCTCGTCCTGATGGCAGAGGAGATTCCAGGCCTGAGCAGGGTGGCTGAGCAGCCTAGACTCGGGGCTGGGCCCCTAGGCTGGTCTGAGACAACCTGGGACAAGAGGGGGAGGGGAAGCTCCATTTCCTACCTGCCCACACCTAGTCCCTCCTGGCTCCCCTTTAACCCAGTGATCCTCCCCAGCGTGGGGGTGGGTAGGAGGGGGCTGTGCTAGACCCCAGGAGAAGGGGCTGGGCTTGAGGGGCAGGCTGGGCAGGGCCGAGGGGCAGAGGGAAGGGTTAGGACCTGTTCTCAGGGGAAGCAAAACAAGCAGAGCGACAAAGGGCTTTGGGGTTCGGATGGCGTCTCAGGGATTAGCGATGCTTGGGCTGGAGTGGGGCCAGGCAGGGAGTCTCGGGAGGAAAAGCCGCCAGGGCCGTCCTCCCTCTGGCCGCTGATCCTGCCTCGGCCCTCCCCTCCCCTAAGTTCAAATGCTCCTGGGAGATGCTCCCTGTACCAAACCCTCACTTCAAACCCCACAACCCACCCTCCACTCCACCCACCTGCCCCCAGGCCCCACACACCAGGCTCTCCATGAAGCGGGGCACGTTGTCCCTGAGCAGGGCCTTCAGCTCCTCCAGGGACAGGGTCTCCACGTCCCCCTCCCGGGCCGCGTACTGGTGGTAGCTGTGGATGATTTGGAAGAGGGATTCCTCGACTGGCGTGTCCGTCATGGCAGCGGGGCTCTCTGATGGCAGCGGACAAGGGCCAACTCCAGAGATGTGGAGGTGGAGCAGCTGCGGACAGTGGAGAATCGGGGAGAGAGAGCAGCACCTCCTCTGGGCCAGCCCTTCCCTTCCTGCCCACCTTGTCTCAGGCCCCCTCCCTGCCCATCCTCGGTGCCTCCAATTACAGCAGCCAGTGTTGTGACTCCTCACAGGTTCCTCGGCAGCACAGCTGAGCCTTCACTGCATTCCTGGGATGACATCACACGCACTTGCTCCCTAAGATGCACTCAGCCAGTTTCAGGGACCCACCTTCCCTCAGAGCCTGATCTGAAGCATCTCAGACCCACACGAGGTCACAAGGTTATCCATCTCCCTGCCTCCAGCTCATCCTCCCAGCTCCAGGGCTTGGGTGGGGCTGCCCACACAGCTCCAATACATCTCCTTGCATGTCCTACCTCAATTAGTGAACCCCCAGACTCCACCGTCATGAAGGACAATCACTCATCCGACAAATATTTCTCGAGGCTCCACAGCGTGCCAGGGCTCTCCAGGCAATATGAGTAGGACACGCGGCCAGCTCACAGGGCGGGAACGAGCGGAGGGGACAGTGACACAGTGTGAACACTGCTGATTTAGTGGCACAAACGGGGCACCCTGGGCTCCCAGGAAGGGACACCGTCTGCCTGGAGAGTTGAGGAACACTTCAGTTGAGGCAACATTTAGGTGGGATTGAAGATGTTGTTGCGAGGAGAAGCACGGAGGACCAGCACTCCAGACGGAGGAACCGCATGGTCATAGGCGTGGGGGTATGAAAGTGGGTGGCCTGCGAAGGGAAGGTGTCCACGGGGTTCATGAGGAGCAGGTAGGAGACACAGGGCTGGAGAGGAGGATTGAGGCTGATGCGAAGGGCCCTGTGTGCCAAGCTAGAGCTGCACCTTTCTCCTGTGCACAGGATTTCAGATGGTAGGTGATGGGTGGGAGATCAGAGGCAAGTGGTAGGAACGGCTTTTAGGAAAAGCTTTATTATAAGGCAATAATCGACTGCTGTGTGGAAATGGCCCTCCTCTAAAAGAAGCCAGGTGTGTAGGCTTGGCCTCCAGACAGCTACCACCTGAGCCTTTGAGTGGCAGGTGAACTCCTTCCCCCATCTCCAGCTTTCTGTCAGCCAGCCAGCCCTTCTACCCCTGCCTTGCTTCTCCCCTGGGATGGGCACGCAGCGGGGGAGTGAATCTCCCAGAAGGGGGCGCCAAAGGGCAGGTTATTGAACCAGAGATTAAGCCTCCACATCCCTGAAGGTTTGAGAGAAACAGGTAAATACTGAAGCCAAACTTCTTCCAGTTTACAGGGTGAGCCTTCATCTACCCAACATAATGATTTCCTCGGCAAATAAGTGGTTCATCAATTCACCAAAATAAAAAATGGCCCACGTGTCTAAGAGGTAAAACAATTTGGCAATGCCAAGCTAGAGTCACAGAGAATTTATGGAATACCTTAGATTCAGCCATCATTCCCCTGGGAATTGATTCCAAGAAAGTATTTAAAAAACAATAAGTCTGGTAAGAAAAAGCAATAAGTAGGTGTTGACCACAGCAATCTCTATAGCCAAATCGCAAAAATAAAAACCTAGAAGCCACCTAATTAAGGAATTTGGTGTGCCAATACGACCTTGGACAATTGCTAGATAACAGCTTGTCACTTAAAAAAAAATCAATTTTTGACACAGAGCTTGTTGGGGGTAGAGGTTTCATATTGTACCCCCTTCACCCTGCCTTTTTTCCAATCTGGGACAAAAACAACCCCCCACATACTGTCCCAATACACAGTGATGATCTCCTTCAACAGCTGTGTTGCAACTAGTCTTTTCATTAATACTGTGCTGTGGACATCTGCTCACACAATAAGTGAATGGAGCCTAATTTTTAACGAGTGCATAGTGATCATTTACTTGCATATATCAACATTTGTTCTTTAATCCATTACCAGTAGCCATTTAAATTATGTTAGGTTCATACAATTCAAGGTTAATTCTTGCTTAACACTGACATTTCTTCCAAATTTTGCCATGTGTGCTACGTGCTAGGCACAGCAATTCTCAACCTGTGGGTCGCGACCCCTTTGGCGGTCGAACGACCCTTTCACAGGGGTCGCCTAAGACCATCCTGCATATCAGATATTTACATGACGATTCATAACAGTAGCAACATTACAGTTATGAAGTAGCAACGAGAATAATTTTATGGTTGGGTCACAACATGAGGAACTGTATTTAAAGGGCCAGAAGGTTGAGAACCACTGTGCTGGGGGAAGGATAGAAATGAATTTCCACCACTTCCTCTGCCTGAGCCACACTGTTTCACTGCCAGTACCTCCCACAGCCATACGAAGAGGCTCTGGAACTAGGTTGTGATGCGATGTGGTGGTTGTGGAAAATTGTGAATGTACTTAATGTTGCTGGCATGTACATTTTAAAAATACATTTTATTGATTTTTTACAGAGAGGAAGGGAGAGGGATAGAGAGTCAGAAACATCTATGAGAGAGAAACATCAATCAGCTTCCCCCTGCACACCCCCCACTGGGGATGTGCCTGCAACCAAGGCACATGCCCCTGACCTGAATCAAACCTGGGAACCTTTGCTGCAGACCAAGATCAACAGTAATTGATATAAATGTGAGAAGTCTGGCAGAAGGCTGACCAGGACTCCTTTTGATATTCACAGGGTGAATATCTACATTTTATTACCTGCTGCTGACTCAATGGCCTAAAGCAAACTCCCCCAAGACCTGACAATCTTACTGTGTGCTAATCATTACCATTGATATGTCTGTTGGCATTACTAAAGGCAATTGTGTATTCTAGCTAATAAAAGCAGCTGGGAAAGGAACAACTGAGAGAGCTTGACCTTCATGGTTAGGCTGTCCTCTGGTTCCCCTGGTAATTATAAAAATTAATATTCCATCTTGTGTGTATCATTTGCTCGTCAGCCCTCCCTCCAAGTCTTTGAACCCGCGAAAGCCACGCTGGCCCTGGACTCTCGCAAACCTTCAGTCCGCAGGCCGACGCTCTATCCATTGAGCCAAACCAGTTAGGGCTGGCATGTACATTTTGAAGGATCATAGACAAATTACATTATATTTAAATTAAATTTTATTAACATTTTATTATATTTCATGTGAAATACATTTTATTTTAACTGCATAGGACAAAAACGACTAGTAAAATTTTAAGTATATGTAAGATAAACACAAATATTTAAAAACTGCATATCTAGGGAGAGCCCTCTCTGTCATGGCAGCTACACACACTGCGGCCCAGGACCAGGGACCACAGGCCTCACAGGAGCTGAAGCGAGTTGCCCACACGCTGCAGGTGGTTCTTCTGCCTCTAGAAGGTCAGTGAAAGCTGTGCCCGGAGACCGCTCTGGCTCTGGAGAGGCTACTGGAGTCGGCATTGCCTCTTGAGTTCTTTTAAGAACTTGCTCTGGAGCTGGTTCTGTAGATCCCAGAAGAGAACATGCTACCACCATGACTGCCTCGATGTGCCTTCTAAAGACAGAACATCTCTGCTATCCATTGATGGAGTCCCATTTCCAGAGCCCACCCCAGGAAGTCTTCCCAGACTGCAGGTCATGGGGACAGTGATCAGAGCAACACTTTGCTCCTGCATAACCCTCGCTTCTGGAAGCTCTTCTCTGCGTGGCTTAGACCCACAGGCACCCAAACCTTCCACCCCTAGACCTCCTCATCTTCTGCCTCTACATCTGTGGGCTCACAATGCTCCAGCTCTGAAAGGAGCAGCTGGGCCCAGTGCTCCAGGTCTGAGCTGGTTCTGTAGATCCAAGGAGGACAGAGGCAGATGGGAAGGGCTCTGTGTGGGTAATGGCACGCCTCTTTCCATGGCTAGTGGAGTGGACTGTCACTGATGACTCAGCATGAGCTTTCTGCTCATCATTCCCTGCCCTCTCCTCCCCTCTCCTCTTCAGTCCTGTCTTCTCACTTGCTGCCCAGACACTCTCTGGACTCCAGCACTAGCTTTACTTCTCATGCCTGGAACAGCCATCACTCTATGCTTTCCCCAGACACCCAGCTCCCAGCATTTAGCAAACCATTGGGAGGATCAGCTCAGCAGACAGGCTGGCTCTCACCTCCACAAGGACACCCACACAGGCTAAAACACACACACACACACACACACACACACACACACGCACAGGGACAGAACACAGCCCAGAAGCCCAGGACACAGGCAAGGGATCCAGTCCTCTGGGTACTGATGAGTGTCCCGTTCACAGTGCCTATGTGGCCCCTATGCCCGCCACCCAATGTCTTTTTCAGTGGTGCCATCTCCCCTTTGTCCCTGGGGTCATGCTGGGCAGGAGCACGTGGGCATGAGGCACCGTGTTCACATCTCCCGCGGCTCCTGCTCCCTGCAGTTCCTGGATCCCCAGAGGCTGATCATGGCTTGAGAAGGAAAAGCATGGCTGGGCCAGCAGAACGCTCTGCACTGCTGACCCTGGGACCTGGCACGCTGGCTGCACTAGGGAGCAGGGGCAGAGGTGGACAGAGGCCCTGCTGAGGGAGGTGGTCAGTTATGCTGGAGGCCAAAGGGAGGTCACCCTCCTGGCACATTCCTGGGTAAGTCCCCCCATGGAGAATCCACAATTACATTCAGCAAGAAGGGGTGGTTTTGACAGCATAAGTAGCCAAAGAAAAGCAGGAAACAGGCTGTATCTGGGCAAAAGACACACTTTATTGTTTCTTGGAGGCCTCAGGCTGGGCTGGGCTCAGTGTCCTCCCCCTGAACAGAGCGGGGCTCCGTGGCTGTGATTGTGGTAGTCCGTGGCTATGACTCCCAACACCGACAGAAACTCGGAAAACTCGATCTTCTTATCGTAATTCTTGTCCTCATCCTCAAAGATATGGGCCAAGAAATCTTTGCCCTTTTTTTCCTGTGGAAAAGACAAATTCAGTCCCAAAAGTGTTGTGGGTGGAACAGGAGGAGGCACAGGCAGAAAGGGGGAGAGAAGCATCTGGGGCCACACAGGTGTAGCTGGTGTGGGCCAGTGGAGGGTACCTGGGGATGAGGGGGACGTTTCCCTATCCTGCAGGTCACTGAGGGAGATTCCTTGGATCAAGTATCAGCATGAAAGAGAGACCTAGTGGTGGTGGGCAGACTCAGCCCAGAGCCTCACTGATCAATGAGCTGGTGGGTGGGTGGTCTTTAGACCCAGAACTGCTCCTCCGACCCACTTCTATGACTCCATTTACCTAAGTTCTACCCAGAAACTAAAGATAGGCCCTACCCCTTGTCTCTTCATTCCTAACCCTCCTCTCCTATCTCCTATTTGCCTTCCTGAATCTTCCATGCTCAGTGCCCTCTTTTGCTCACCTACTCTCTGTGTCACCTAGTAGCCT